AAGCTAGCGAAACAACCGCGAGCGCATCACGAGTGTGGCATGAACTTATGTCACTACATGACACGCATATTGTGATTGTCATGTTTGGACCAGTCACATACCTTCATCTTTCATTCACGACCCATAATACCAAATTTATTCTATGCGAAGCTAGTGGAGCAGCCGCGAGCACATCATCATTGTGACATGTCGTCATGCTGTTACATGACAAGCATGTCTTACTTTCCATGTTAAGGTTTGTCATTTATGTACGCCATGCAGTCATGTCACACCGTACCAGTTTAGCGACGTGTCATGCGAGCGAAACCGCTGCAAAAGCAGCAAGACTATGAAATCTGAATCATAATATTTATGACATACGTGCAATGATTTTCATGTTATGACTAGTCACTTATTCTCACCATGCAGTCATGTTATGCCAGTGCAATTTCAGTATCGATACCATTATCGAAACGGCCACGAGAGCTTAAAGTCGTAGGCGGCTAGACAGACAGACAGACAGACAGACAGACAGACAGACAGACAGACAGACAGACAGACAGACAGACAGACAGATAGAAAGATAGATAGATAGATAGATAGATAGATACAAAGAAAGTCGCTGTGGTTGGCTAAAAAATGCTTCGCATTTAAAAGCACTGCAGCTGACACGGTGTCTGGAAGTGACGCCTTCGATGTGCTAGAAGACCACGTCACCATGACTTTTCGCTCAAGCGTCATAATTCTCTTAGGCACTATATAATCAAGAAGCGTTCAAAGAATTGTTGTAGGCAACGGACACCTGTTGATAAACTGTAATATTTGCGTCATTGAGGACTAGGCAAGCCACGATAAGCGACCGTAAGAGTAATGCTCACGAACTTTATTTACGAGTACAAGCACGTGAACAAAGGCATTAAGGTTGCCCAGATCTGATAACTACTAGAAGCCAGCAACGCCTTCGCCGAGTCTACTGAACCTACCACTACTCAAGCCCTTCAAACAGTTTTCGACGTTATTCCGGGCCTTCCAACGCATAAATAGGAGCAGCTCAAAAGCCTACTCTTGAAATACATGAACTGCTTTTCATCGTCGTTAAGAATTCAATAAACCCCTGTCACAAAACATCGAAGCGTAACCGCAGAAAGTGCCAGGTCACTTCGTCAGAGCCCGTACAGAATTTCGGCGCGAGGACGCGAAGAGATGAAGAAACAAGCCGACTAAATGCTACGCGACGATATCAATCAGCCGTCAAAGAGTCCGTTGCCGTCTTCAATGGTGATAGTGACGAAAAAGGATGGAACTCTACGCTTATGCGTCGGCTATCGCCACTTGAACGAAATCTTGAAGAAGGATGTGTACCCGCTCGGGCGGATAGACGAAGCCGTATATTGACTCCACAAAGCGAGGTACTTTCTTCGATGAACCTGAATACCGGCTATTGCAGAATCAAAGTCGACTAGAGAGACCTAAAATACTGCCTTCATAATACCGGACAGCCTGTTCTAGCTTCCGGTCATGCTCTTTGGCCTTTGCTCGGTACCTGCGACTTTCTAACAACTCATGAATACTGTCCTGACTGGCTTGAAGTGACAGACTTGCCTCGTTTAGTTGAACAATGTCGTCGTGCTTTCCTCAAGCACTAACACCTCTAGCACCTTGAATTTGTACCTAAAGCAATGAGGAGGTCGGGAGTAACTCTAAAGCCAGAAAATGCCACTTTGTGTACAAGATGCTTTTGTTTTTGGGTTACGTGATCAGGAAGAATGCAGTGCGCCTAAACTCACAAAAAACAGCTGCCATCACCGCCTTCCCAACACCCCTCGACAAGAACGCCGTGCGGTGATTTCTCGGCTTGTGCGCCTATCACAGACGCATCATAAAAGCTTTTCACAGATCACCGAGCCACTAACACAGCTCATCAACACAAACGTCTATTTTGAAGTGGTACACGAAGCAAATCGAAGAAATTCAGAAACTGAAACGACGTCTGCAGGCCCCTCCAATACTTGCGCTTTTCGACAAAAACGACGATCTGAAAATCCGCACCATCGCAAGCAGCATAAGCATCGGTGTCGCTTTTTTCCAGAAGACTAACGGAAAAGTAAGGGTTATCAGTTATGCTAGCCAGTTGCTATCCAAGGCAGAAGGCAACTATTCCTCAAGAGAAAAGGAGTGCCTTGCCGTCATCTGGGCTTCCTTCAAGTTCCGCCCCTACATATACGGGAGACCGTTAAGAGTTCAGAGTGACCCCCACGCCCTCTGCTGGCTAGCTTACTTAAAGACACTTCACGTCATCTCGCATGGTCTAGTCTCCAACTGCAGAAATTCGTTGTTACCAGTGTTTAAAAATCCGGACAAAAGCACTTTGACGCCGACTGCCTGTCCCGCGCCCCTGTTCACCCACAATGACAAATTGGCGAGGACACTCACTACACCTTAGGCATCTTAACCGTCGATGAATTGGCCGAACAATTGTCAGCCAACTCTGAAATCAAGAGCCTTGTAGAATACCTCAAGGCCAAACCTGTCATTGTTCCACTGATATTCAGGGGAACACTGTCATTGTTTTTTCGCAGAACGGCATTCTTCTCCAAAAAAACTGCTCGCACTTCAGGCCATTTACCTTATAAGAATACCCTAGGAGTTACGTCCAGAAGTTCTGGATGCTCAGCATGATGACTCGATGGCTGGACAGCTTGGGTTTTCCCGTACGCTGCTGAGAATACAAGAAAAGTACTACTGGCCCCGCCTCCCTTCCCACCTAATCCAGTGACGCAAGATGCCGTAAGACGGTCAATTGGGCCAGTTGGTTGGCAGTCATCGTGAACTTGTTAACAGCGCAACACTAGAAACTCAGGACAGAGAAGGAGCAAAAGAGAAAAGAAATGAGCTGTAAACAAGTTTGCGCAAGCCACCACTGACAAGGTCAGCAGGATTCCTCCAGGCGACCAAGGCACTTCGTCGACCATTCCAACAAACTGGGATGTACCTACTAGGACCGTTTCCGACGTGGAATTCGGAAAACTAATGGATCGCCGTAGCTACTGACTACCTCACCCGCTACGCCAAAACGAAGGCCCTACTCGAAGGTTATCCTGAAAAGGTAGTCAAGTTCTTCATAGAGAACATTGTACTTTGTCATGATGCCCAGATATTCTCATCAGCAATAGAGGAACGGCCTTTTCTGCAGATTTGACTCGGGCAATGTTGAGACATAGCCAGACAAGCCACAGCCGCTCCACCGCCTACCTAGCAACAGAAAAGTGGTCTCAATGAGTGACTTAACAAGACAATCGCCAATATACTGACTATACGTCCACGTCGAACACAAGACGCGGGATATCATCTTCCTATACGTGACATTCGCATACAACACGGCCGTGCAGGAGACAACACAGATGCCGCTGTAGAAGCTGGCGTATAAAAGAAACCCGGAAACGACGTTTGACGCAATGCTGCGCAACGTCGCTGACGAAGAAGAAAGAGTATAAACTATATTTCAGTGGAATAGTTCGGAATTTAATTCTGAGACAGCCCTCTTGTAGAGCCCCACTGGCTGCAACGGCTTGGCGGGCCTAAACTAGGGTGACCAGTTGGCTCCCTGTCACGAGGCTAGTCAACCCACAAGCTCTCGTGTAGATTCTTGTGCATACAAACCGATGAGAAAACCCACATCGGTAAAGAGAACACGAGACCGTTTATGCACACAAGAAAAACAACTAAATATATTTTCAATAAACTAGATAAAGAGAAAGGGATAAGAGGAAAAACAAACAAAGCACACAAATTCGAGGAGAAGTTAACCTAATGACCGCGAAATGCTAAGGATGCGTAAGTTCCGCAATAGCAAAAGCGACTGTCACCGTTCGGTCGCGGCACTCTTGTAGACGGCGAGGGTTGATGCGATGGGGTGCAGACAAGGTAGATCACAGGTCCAAGCTTTGCTCGTGGTTGAAGGTAACTCCGGGCGCACCAAGGTCAGTGACCTCTCAGCGTTCGTCCTCCGACGCTGGGACGTAACCCTGGAAACGGGACGAGCCTGGCCAAAGCCAGGTGGTGAGAAGCCTGGCCAACGCCAAACGACGAGCAGCCTGGCCAACGCCAGGCGACGAGCAGCCTGGCCAACGCCAGACGACGAGCGGCCTGGCCAACGCCAGACGATAGATGATGCTCGGGTGCCCGACCAGGTGGGAGTCCGCAGCAGCCTTGCCTAAGGAACTCGGCCGCCACCCCCGCGCCCTGGTAGCCTGCTTGCCTCCGTCGCGTCCCGGCCACGTCTGCCCCGTTCTTCGTTCGGGCTTCTTCCAAACCAGCGTGGGGGCCTCTAATTGGTCCGAACTTCACGCGCCTCGTCTGCCCATCATCTTTCTCACCGAATACATCGCAAAAGCGCGCGTCCACACCATCGGTCGTCGTCGTCTTCTTTCCTATGCCGGTGCACTCGCGCACATTTTACACCGAACACTGGTTGCACTCGCGAACTTCACGAAACGCGCACTTCACTTATCACAACATGCCCCTTTTTCGAAAAGTTTTTTTCCCAACGGAACAAACTGCCGGATGCGTGTTTCACCACACAGGATACGTTCTCGGAGTTCACATGAACACATGCACACTGGTATCACTGCAACAAGTCTTAAGGAGCACACTTACAGAAAAAAAATCCACATATGGTAAACAATGTTCCGATGGTTGGTTGTTTATCTGAGTAAAGGCGCCGCAGGTGGCGCTGCCGATTAGATAGGCCGCTACGCTATAGTGCGCATGCGGGCGCTCACATCCCAGCCCCATCGACGACAGCAGCAATCGCCACCGACAGTTTTAAGAAGCAACACCTGGACACCGCCTTCAGTGGGCACGAGAGCAGTGGTCTCTGCACAGCTCTAAGCCGCTATTTCTTCACCATGCAGGCCTTCTTTGCGAACATCCTGCCGTGGTTATCAATTTGCTCTGCTGGCTTGGCGCATGTAGGTGCGCCGCTACCGACAACGAACCTCGTCAGCGTAGCCGATCAACACATGCCGAGCTCTGACGCCCCTTGGGTGCTCTTTGAGTATCCACCAGCCCCATCGACGACAGCAGCAATCGCCACCGACAGTTTTAAGAAGCAACACCTGGACACCGCCTTCAGTGGGCACGAGAGCAGTGGTCTCTGCACAGCTCTAAGCCGCTATTTCTTCACCATGCAGGTGTGTACTCCTTTACTACACGCTAAAAAATCTGACAACCGCTGTCTACTGCTGTTCCCGTGCCCACGGGTGTTGTGCGAGACTCTGTGTGAATGTTTTTCAATGGCTCACACCTTGCTTTGTTCCGGCGACATTGAGACTAACCCTGGACCCAATACCCGTGCCACAACACAACAAGAATTTCATGAGTTACCCGAAAACCCTGCCGAACAAATGAATGTCTTATTCCATATGTTGAAAGACGTGCACTCGCGTTCGTTACAGAGCTCACAGTGTCAGTCTGAGCTTGCTATTGATGTAAAAGCAATTAAAGCCGGACAAAAAAACATTCACGTTGAAATTACTGGTATCCGGAAGCGGCTTGACGAATTGGAAGAAAAATCGATCAAACTGGATACTATGACTGAAGAATTAGCAAGTGTGCAAAAAGCCGTAGAAGAACTAACCGACGAGAATAACCACGTGCAATCTAGACTAACCGAGCTAGAGGACAGGTCCAGAAGGGACAATTTAATCTTTCATGGTGTTCCAGACTCTAGAGAAACGTGGCAAGAAACCGAGGCGAAATTGACGAATTCTATTTCTGCTATTCTTGACAGTTTTTCCAGCGAGTCATTTCAAAGGGTGCACCGTTTGGGTAACCCTTCACCCACTAAGTGCCGCCCCATCGTCGCCAAGTTCACTGACTTCAAAACGAAAGAGAAAGTGCTGTCACTGCGCAATCAACTAAAAGATAAGAATATTTCAGTAAGCGAAGATTTCTCTGTGGCAACGAGGCAGGCACGTAAAAAACTTATTGACTTTGGGAAAGCTCAGGCCGGTTCTTCACCACTTAAGCTGCGTTACAACAAGTTACTACTAAATAACAAATGTTACATGTATTTTCCCGAGTGCGACAAAGTTCTAGAGGTGAAAAAACGTACCAATTATGTCAATAATGCGAGAGCTTCTTCTTCTGTGAACACGACTACATAGGGTTGCGCGAGGGGAGGTGACCACAAATCAAATCTTCAGGTATCTGTCATTTTTTCTAACGTTAGAAGTGTACTAAATAAATATAATTCTTTATCATCAGCTATTGATACATGTAGCGCAAAAATAGTTGCATTGACTGAAACTTGGCTCCATGCGCATGTCCGCGATCAAGAAATCTTTGATGACGCAACCAATTTTCACATGTACCGTTGTGATCGGACAGTGCGCAGGGGAGGCGGCGTTCTTCTGGCAGTCTCAAAAGACACTCCTTCTTCCTGTATTCATATTAACACTGAACTAGAGCTAGTCTGGGCTATAGTAACCATTGGACACCATAAGATAATATTAGGTGTATGCTATCGTTCTCCCTCTTCACCTTCAACATTTGTCGATGAACTTCACGACGCAATTAATATAGTTTGCACACGATTTCCATCACATCCCCTGTTTCTCCTCGGAGATTTTAACTTTCCTAGTATAATGTGGAACGCATACGCACCCTACTCTTTACCGTCTTCGCCGCAACCAAATGAATTCATTAACCTATGTTCAACGTTTTCCCTGACGCAAGTAGTGGCCTTACCGACTAGGGCAACTACTAACAGTGCTAGCATTCTTGATCTGATACTAACAAACCGACCAGACTTTGTTACCGCTATAACCTACGCACCAGGTATCAGTGACCATTCTTTACTTTCATTTTCATTTAATGCACCCTGTCCTAATAGAGATAAAAAAAAGAAAAAGATACGGGACTATAAAAAAGCCAACTTTGACAAGATAAACAGTGAACTAGCAACTTTTCTAGACATATTTCTAAGCAGTTTTGATACCCGTTCAGTGCAGTGTAACTGGGATATGTTTGCAGATGAAGTTGAACAACTAACCAATAAGTATATCCCTTGCCGTACTATCACAACTAACGCACGTGCGCCATGGTACAACGCGTACATCAAACGCTTATCTAACCGAAAGAAACGTTTTTATCGTGCAGCAAGATGTTTACCCACTAACCACCCACGCTGGGCTGCCTACAAATCTGCATCATCCATCTACATATCTGCACTAAAATCCGCTAAAGACAACTTCCTCACTCAAGTCCTGCCGTCTATGTTACAAACAAATGCAAAAAAATTCTGGCGAGTTATTAACCCCCTATCTGACAATCATATTTCCTTGATCGATTCATCCGGTAACGAAATTAGTGAAGCCCTTTGCGCTTCTGTTCTCAACGATTCTTTTATCCAAAACTTCTCCGTAGATAGCCATAATGATTTACCTAGCGCAACCTTGCACAATTATTCACCCATGTCATCCGTGATTATCGAAACTCTTGGAGTTGTACGTCTCATTGAATCACTTAAGAACGATTCATCTCCTGGTTATGATGGTATTAACACAAAATTTTTAAAAAATACTAGCGCTTATAGTTCCATTATAGTTACTAAAATTTTCAACAGTCACTAGATACTTCTACTATTCCTAGTCAATGGAAAATCGGAAAAGTCGTTCCACTCCATAAATCTGGTAATAAACACTCTTCGAATAATTATCGTCCCATTTCTTTAACCAGTATTTGTTGTAAAATGCTCGAGCATATAATATTTACAAACATAGTCAATTTTTTAGAATCAAATTCATTTTTCACGTCAGCACAACATGGCTTCCGTAAAACATATTCATGTGAAACACAGCTAATATCATTCACTCATCACTTACATCAGATCCTTGATAAATCATCCCATGCTGACTGTATTTTTTTAGATTTTTCAAAAGCTTTTGACAAGGTTTGCCATAGACTTCTACTTTACAAACTACACCAACTAAACCTTGACGGTAACCTACTAATGTGGATTGAATGCTTTCTCACTAACAGATCACAATTCGTTACTGCCAACTGTCATAATTCTCCATTTCGCGAAGTTCATTCTGGCGTTCCGCAAGGGTCCGTCTTAGGTCCCTTGTTGTTTCTCATTTATATTAATGACCTGTCATCAGTTGTATCATCAAAAATTCATCTATTTGCTGACGACTGTGTTATTTTTCGAGAAATTACTACCGATAATGACATTAATATATTGCAGTCTGACCTTAACGCTATATCTAACTGGTGTGATAAATGGCTAATGGACCTAAACATTAAAAAGTGTAAAATCATGCGTGTATCAAGAAGTTGCACTACTTCACCTATTTACTATCTTAATAACATTCCTTTGGATTCTGTTAACTCTTATAAGTATCTTGGAGTTCACATAACAACTAACCTCAACTGGACAACTCATATTGAATACATCATTATCAATGCTAACCGCATGCTTGGCTATTTACGACGTAACTTTTTTAACGCTCCACATGGTTTAAAACTGCTACTTTATAAAACACTAATACGCTCTAAACTAGAATATGCTACAACCGTGTGGGACCCTACCTATAATAACCTGGTAACTTCCCTTGAACTTGTTCAGAATAACTCCGTTCGTTTTATATTGTCCAATTATAACAGAACCGCTAGCATTTCAACCATGAAAACTTCACTTGCACTTCCTTCCTTAGCATCTCGCAGAAAAGTCTCCCGTCTAACTCTATTTCACAAGATCTACCATCATCCCATCTTGCATGCCCAACTACTACTTCGCCCACAGCACATTTCCCACCGCATTGACCACCATCACAAAGTAGGCATCCCTTCATGCAACACAAAAACTTTTTTCAATTCTTTTTTGCCTCGCACATCAAAGGAGTGGAACAGACTTCCCGGTGACATTGTTGCTATTACTGATAACAATTTGTTCCGTGATGCTTTAGCTAACATTGTGTAATAAGTTCTTTTTTTGTGTTTTGTTGCAACAGCTAACATTGTATATTTAGGCTTGTTGTTGTATTACCTAACATGTATTATTATACAGCATATTAACAAACATTGTGCTCTTCCAAATTTATTTGTACGATTTAACCGTATTCACTGCTTTTTTTGTTAAATTCAATATTTTATTGTAAATAACCCACCCCCCTCTGTAATGCCATTTGGCCCTGAGGGTAAAAAAATAAATAAATAAATAAATAAATAAATAAATGCTTTGCCTCCTATCTTTAGCAACACCTGAATTCGTATCTATGGCCGTAACCTGCTCATGAAGTCGGCACTTGCGTTTTCAGAACCTTTGATATGTTGAATATGAAAAGTGTACTCTTGTAGTACTAGACTCCACCTTAGCAACCTACTGTTCAGGGCCCGAATTCACAAAGCTTTCTCTTGGCTACGCATTTTCTTAGCCAAGAAATTCTTTTATCTGGAGGGATTGCTATAGCGCGGTTGCGAATTTAACTTATTCAGCACTTAAGAGGGTGAGGAGGACACACGATAGCCGATGAAATGACAAGGAAAGAAAGAAGTTCGTCGACATGATAACAAGGCAGCTTGCCGAGCGTCCAGCATCGAGGGTATACGATGATGGCCAATGTCTTTTCGCTTCAAGTGAGCTTCCAGTTCCGGGCGTCTGCTACAGCGCTTATGCGCGGCCGCGCTCCAGCAGGACGCCCGTGGGGCCTGCGCAATATATATATATATATATATATATATATATATATATATATATATATATATATATATTATATATATATATATATATATATATATATATATATATATATATATATATATACATCCTGCAAGCACACACACACAGAGAATACCCGCAAAGCCATAAATCATTGTAATTTTTTGTCGTAGGGAGGCATTCACAATGCGATTTTTCGTCATTCTTCGGAGGAGAAGCGTGGTACCCGCTACAAACTTGCAAAAAAAGTTTTGTGAAAATGTTTTATGCTGTCATTCACGATGATGAAGAATTATGCCTGAAGCTTAAGTAATGAGTCAGAGTATTCGACAACCTATTCGTGACGCAATTCCCATTGTGCGACACCTGATTGTTCCTTTGCTGTACTAAAACGCTTTATTACGCGCATTAACGCGATTCCTTTCCAGACATCAAGCATTCCTAGGGTCAGTTTTTGATGGCGTTGTGAGCAGCGGCATGGCTCAGTGGTAGAACACTGGGCTGAAACGTAGAAAACCCTGGTTCGAGTTCCACTGCCTTTTTAGTGTTCTTCATTCATAATTTTTTTTTTCATTTCGCGCGAGAGTGGTTGCAGACACTGGCAGCGGCGGACATCTATTGCGCCCCACGTGACCTTTGTTGTGATGTCGTAACAGCTTTCGTTGTGAAATGTATAAGTAGCGACGATTAGAGCACCCCTCAGTGAAAAAATGTGAGTACCGGTGTTATTAGGTGATTTATCGAAGCAAGAAATTTCGGAGCGCCTTGCTCGTACGTAAAGTTACAACTTCTTTCTGTTCACCTAATTATTTCAGTTTTTTCGATAATTGTCAATTTTTGTATTACATCTTTGATGTTTTTATCGTTAACGTATACCTCATTTGCACTTTTTCTCACATTTTGTTTTATTTTTGCCTATTTTCGTTCTGTTCTGGCTGCATAAGCGTCCCAGCAATCGACTATGAATCGGCAAAAGAAGATAGTCCCATGACTCTAGGTGCGTGTGCTAAGCAGGGGCGGCGCCAAGATTTTTTTTTTTTTACTGGGGGTGGGGGCCTTCTTGGAACCACCCGTGGTGCCAGGTAATCTTTCTCAGTGTTTTTTCTTCTCCCCCTCCTCATTTTTTTTTTCGTTTGGAGACGAAGGTATCACAATAACGCAGACAATCACTGCAAACGGAGAACGTCTCGTGGCTAGCAGAATGTGATACAGGCGCCTAAAATGATGGCCCACAAAGAACGACGCTCAACACCGGAACAGGCGCCTAAGAGCCGTTTTCTTCACCCGCCCCCCAGTTAGAAAACTATTTTAATCTGTTATATACCGTATGTCAATTATTGCAATGCTCGTTTTAATGTCCTAGTAGGTGACAGTTTCCAAAGCCTGCTCTCATCGGCAAGCAGGAACGAGAACCCAAGAAAATGTTTTCTTCAGCGTACTACCTGCAATAAATAGTTCCTCTTGCGTTTTCTTTCCTTAACGACTGGATTCTGTGATCGAGTTTCGCCGGGTGTCGAGTGATAAGCGTCTTTAAAGAGAAAGGAGGTAAATCGACGATGACTTGGTCAGCGATTATCGCAAGTGCGCTCACGCATGAGGCCCAGTTGTGATAAGGGCCCAGTTCCTGGTCAACGTGAAGATGTCGGCGAACCAGCCAAAGCGAGCGCGACAGCCGAAATTTACAAAAGAGATTGATTGATTGATATGTGGGGTTTAACGTCCCAAAACCACTATATGATTATGAGAGACGCCGTAGTGGAGGGCTCCGGAAATTTAGACCACCTGGGGTTCTTTAACGTGCACCCAAATCTGAGCACACGGGCCTACAACATTTCCGCCTCCATCGGAAATGCAGCCGCCGCAGCCGGAATTCGAACCCGCGCCCTGCGGGTCAGCAGCCGAGTACCTTAGCCACTAGACCACCGCGGCGGGGCAATTTTACAAAAGAGGAGCTAGCAATTCTCGTCGATGGCTACGAGGCGAACCGGCGGGCAATAGAAAGTCGAGGAGAGGGTCCCCGAGGGTCCCAAGCCAAACACAGGGCCTGGGACAACATCACGGCAACATTATTTGCTGTCTTGGGGATCGTTCGAACGCCCGCCGAGGTTCGAAAGAAATGGTGCGACGTCAAGAGCGCCATCAAGGCACGAGGTAAGGCTCCTTTACGTAATTGTTCGCACACGTGCTGTAACATATGCACTCTTTTAGGGTTGTAAGTATATAAGCTTGTATTAGCGTAAGCGCACGTAAACACGCAAATAACCAGTCCGCAATGACCGATATAAATTCTGGCAACATCGATAAAGTCACTGCATATCAACAGCGGCAGCTCACCAGATATCACGTCGTGTAAACGAGTGCCTGGTCGCTGGTTCTTAGTCAACGACAACCGCAAGCATGTACTTGAGCGGTATAACCGTTTGAAGAGTTTAACGCCTAAACAAGATTACATGTAATGCCATAGTAACGATAATGGGATGAACTTTTATCGCCTGAGGATTTTTACCATGCACCTAAATACTTTTAGGTGGCCGCGTGTTCTTTTGTTGCGCGCCACAACACGGCTCCAGGAGCCAGGCACTTAAAAAAAATGTGACATCAATGCTTATGAGCTACCTACCTCAGCTCGGTATGCTAAGTGGAAGAGAAATGACATCGCGTGTCACGCTTTCGCTATACTTCAAGGCATTGGTGATGGTGAGACTTAACGCAATATATTTGTAAATCTTTGTTTACTAAAGCGTGCAGTAGTTCTTGGCGCGTATCCGGGCGAGTTGCGTCCCCCAGTTTATAATCTTACAAGTATGCCACAGAAAACAGCTGCAGATACAGGTACACCATTCATTATCTGCTCTATAACAGCTGCTGCAGTTCACCGCAGCCAGGCGAAAACTGGTGGCGGTCCAGAAGACGTGCCACCTCTGAACGAATTTGAGACTCGCGTGGCGAGCGCGTTGGACCCGGAAGCGATTTCCGGAATCTCTGGCGGCATGGATGTAGGTGCCCCGAGTGCAGGTATGAATGCCAACAGGTGTGCCTGTATATACAGCTAGACAGCGCGCTTGCACGGCGGTCTCAGTAATGCGGAGATGAACGTATGTCGTTATAGCTAAAAATTGAAATAATAATGGTTCTTTTATACTCCTAACCTTCTCGCAGCAGCTCGTGTTGAAAAATGTTTAAATATAAGTCAAGAAAGTTCTAATGTGCCCGAACTTTTAGGCAGTTGCAGCAAGAATCCAAATAGCTATTATACAAGAAAATTTTGCAAAGAAATTACACACGCAAAGGAGTAGTAGATTAATTGCATACAAAACATAGTGAAAAGAACACTGAAACTAGGTGCAACAGCGGGTGTATTCGTAAAAGAAAGCCAATCATGGGCGCCGCACGGATTTTGCCTTGCAGGATGGAAACACTAGTTGCATCGCAGTGGAGCGGGGAGGGAGGTGACATAGCAGTGATGCTGCTAGGGTGTGCTATAAGTACTGGCGCAACATGAGGGGGGCATATGACCATTTTGAAGCCTTCCTCTCCCCCTTCAGACGCCACGGAACCTATATGCAATATGAAGAGTACTAAATGTGCACTCCAACAAAAACATGGTAAAAAAAGCGACGAGAGAACGATTTTATAGCAATGCAGACGATCACTGGCAAGAACGCAACAAGGGTAAAAACGGATATCAATCATGAACATTGTGTTTATGATGATCTTTAAACACAACCGCAAACCACCGCATCATTATGAGTTACGCTGCAGCAGAAAAACAGGTAAATTTCTATCACCCGCGATATTTTAGTGTTAGTGGACGCCACACATTACAGAGATATCAATAAGCTTCCACCTTTATACGACCGTCGAGGACTGTATCAAAGCCGCGACTCTTGAGTCAGCAACCAAGCAATAAAATTCCTTATTCACAGAAGTAGCCAGAAAGAACATAAAATTTCATTTTGTTCTTGTTGGTATGAAAGGCTGATGGACATTATTCTCACACTTCCATATAGCTTGACCCTTGGAAGAAGCTATCTTGCATATTTTACACGTTCAGAAGCACTTAAACTTTTATTTTTGTGTTTTGAAAAAACAACAGAGCACATATACCTCTGGCAAGGTGAAGCAAGTCGACTGCGTGGGGTGCAACTGAAAGGGGTGCAACTGCGTGGGGTGCAAATGCGTGGACTGAAAGCATTGTAATGCAGTACACTAGGTGAAGACACCCTTGACACAAACTGATGACGAGTACAGGGGAAACAGACCTTGTCTAGCGAAACTATACAGTTATGAAGCCTTTGTGTGCAACGCTTGTGTTTGCTCTCGCATGAAAACTAATTTTGCATAAAGTGCTTGTGCATGAGTTGACCCTAATCCAATGATGTACTTATGTTCTCTTGTTAGATGAACAGCGAGACAATCCCTTCATTGCAGAGCTGTCAATACCAGGGTGAGAATAACTGTTACAAGACTGTTTGAAATACCAAGTATTATAAAAATGATGTCCCAATTTTGCAGACCCAGCAACATGGCATATGAAGAACTCGAAGAAGGTTAGTGGCCCATTTGCCAACCTTTGCTGGTTTTGCTAGTGAAAATATTTGTATCAGCACTGTAGGTAATTGTGTGTTTGCATCTAATAACTGAATATTGGGAGCAAAAAACACACAATAAAGCGGCAGTGTATTGCAAGCATACTTCTCTTTGATCTTTTACTTAGTCATTCACGTGATAGAAGGCATAAATAAATGCACAGAAATTATAGTACTAACCAAGTGAGACACAACTATAGCAAAAGCAATGATAAACCTTAGCAATAAAGAGATGTCCTGCATGTTTGTCAACCACAGCGACATTATTATTTATTTGACATGGTTGAATAACTTTAATCGGGTAAGGAGTGAGGGTCCACACTTTATGCAATATCTATAAAACATTGCGAAAATTCATACACAATTACTCTGCAAGATCGAAAAAATGCCTGTATGCACTGAACCATTTTTTCATCAAGTTCAACAGTAAAAGGTAGACCACTTACGATTGATGATGTGTGCATATATGAATGTTTGATGCTTCTCGACGAGTTGCACTGTTCAGCATGCTTTACTTTTGGTTTAAATAAAGGGAAAGACTAAGTGAAGAGTTGCACCAATGAAGTATCATACAACGCCACTGCAGGCCACCTTTCACATTGACTTGTCAGGGCAGCAGCTTATCTTGCGGCTGGCACACAGGTGCAGGTTGCAGTGTTGCAGCTAAGGTTTATGTAAAGTAGGAATTGCTGATGGTCTGGTGAATTTATGCACATCATTGTCCCTTTCAGTCTTTCAAGCAGTAATGTTGCATCAAGAAAAATAGCTTTACAAAAATAATGGTGCACAATAAAAGTAATACTAACTAAAGTAATCAAAATGGCCAATGAATATACTTAACCTAGGTAAATATTTTTACATATTAAAAATACCGCATATGTAGCAAGGAGAGGTGCACAACTTTCATGAAGATTGTTTTCATCCACCCTCATTGCAGCTGTCCGCACAAAGGAAAATACACTTTTCCGAACATTCGTCCTGCAAGATTACCTATGTATTGATCTTACGTTACATTGTTTGTCATTGCTGAAAACTAAGACTACAAATGACGTCCCCCCCCCCACAAGCAGCAGCATACAGAAAATAAATATATGAGATTTAAACAACTCGTTCTTCACTGATTGTTGACTCCATTGCATTTTATACTGCAGGCACCTGCGATGCCATCAGAAATGTTCCGTCTAGTGCCGGGTAAGCCTCAAATAATTCAAAATGTGGTACTGTGTATATCAAGTTTTTTTCTGCATCTGGACAGGTCAAGCCAGGAAGACGGGGACAGTGCAACAGGTAAGCACACAGAAACCATGTATTTTTATTTCCTTTTTAAAACACACAAAGTACAGCAACCAAAACTTCCTAGAAAAGTTGCTTATTAAGATTTACAACATATGTGACCCTACCCGTATCTGTTTACACATACAATATTAAAGAGTAGTAGAAAACATATGTACAGGTGCATGCAGTCTTGAGCAATAGTTTGGAGAATTAGTTTTTCTATCCTTGAGACGTGTACATGCTTGTTGCAATCAAGCCATCTGCATGAAGTGCCCATACCTCACTATTCTGCGAAAGCGATGTACACTACGGTCTGTTTGTAAAAGAACGCAAAAAAGATCCCAGTTCATATTTCCGGCCTTTTAAAAGCAAAAAACAATGCTCATACATAGCATTAGGCTGTCAAAAGTAGTTAAAAATCGCAATCACTGATAGTACCATGCAAATCTAAAGCCCGATGCTCATACAAGAATGTGAAACCCAGACACATGGAGCACGCAAGCGTTCCCTTTAACAGTGGACTGTCTGTCTATTGTATGAGCAGATAATCTAGCACAAATCTTTTGATTTTACAGTTTGCACACTTTTGTTAGGAACTTCAAAGAGTAAAACGAATCATCCAGTCATCATGCACATAATTTATGGCATACAGTTAAAGTAACTTTTGGGCACCAAGAAAGATACTGAAGAAATTTAACATGTGGCAGGAATGCAAATCTGGCATTGCTGCGGTGGTCTAGTGGCTAAGGTACTCATCTGCTGACCTGCAAGTCTCATGATCGAATCCCGGCTGCGGCAGCTACATTTTCGATAGAAGTGAAAATGCTGTAGGCCCGAGTGTGAAGATTAGGGTGCACGTTAAAGAACCTCAGAAGGTCGAAATTTTCCGGAGCCCACCACTACGGTGTTTTCATAATCATACCGTTGTTTTGGGACATTAAACACCACATATCTATCAGGAATGCAAATCTGAGAAAAAATTAGACAAATTTGTAAATTTTAGCAGCATCTGAAAGAAGGTGAAAGCAGCAGTTCACCTAATGAAAAGACACAGAAGTGCATCAGCGGTATTCGCAAATACTCTGGGATACTTGGAATGAATGCAGCACGCATTCTAAGCTTGTGCACGTTGGCCTGGCAAGCTCTAAAGTGGGGCAGCTTCAGATGGAGGTCCAGTGAACGAAGAGCACCGACAACCGTACTGTTCACTTGCATTCTTTATTTGTGCTGCAATAACTTAAAAAATCAGTTTTTCACTAGTTCAGGCGTAGTACTTTGATGACCTGTTGATATAGAAAAGTGCACATAACCTTAGACATAAATGTGTAATGCTTCCAAGCAATAAATTGCATTACCTTGAGAAGAAAAAAACCATACCCTCTGCAATAATACATCCGCAAACACTTTCTTGGAAAATCCATTATGTGGAGGGCCACAAAGACTGTCATGCACCATTGTTAGGGCACAACACCGTCTGTTATGCATGATCATTGTGTTAAAAAGAAATAAGGAATGTTCACGTTTCACAAGGTAGATTTCACTAGACAGATGCCATTTGAACCATATTTGGTACTCCTAAAGGCATCAACCATGCATTTAGTGACTGCCAAATGGCATATGAACATTGTGCAACATTAGGTACTAGTCATGTTATGTCATTTTAAAATGTAGGTGAGCCACAGCAACGCAGCAGCAGCACTCCACGGCGGCGACAGCAACGACGCAGCTACACAAGTGAGAAGCTATTTACATAGTAACGAGGTTCAGTGGGGTGAACAGTACATGAAAATACATAGTTTGTACATTGAGGTCCATTTTAAGAGAAGACTGGCAGGCAGTGGCATAACATTACATAGAAGATAAAGCATAGAAATGTGCACACAAGGTGGAGAGAAATTCTTATTTCACTCTTGTACCCAGTCCAGAGTTTACACAAGATCATTATTGCTGTGCTTATGTTTTCCTTGGCAACCAAGTAAAAAAACGAAATAATGACACTCTGCTGGCTTAGCAGTTACTGGATCGTAGCACCGAGCATTAAAGTTTTGACTGCTGACAATGACAACTACTCTGAAGCGTTAATGCAAGGCTACTCGAGAATATTGCTTTCAAAATGCAATTAACGATACACATTCCGTATTCAAAAAAAAAGGATCTACAGCAGGGCGTACTGCACAAAGCTTGAAGTGCATATACACCAGTAGTGAGCATACAAATATAGGTCCTCCAGCTATTTCAATGCACATATCAATCTGAGTAGTACACTGAACAACCCGGCCTGATCACTAATAGTCGTGTTATTCTGTATATTTTGCCCCCCTTGGAAAATCAGTGGCTAGAGTAGGTCGCTGCTTATCCCAAGGTCGCAGGTGCGATTCCAGCCGCGGCTGTCTCATTTCAATGGAGGAGAAATGGTAAAGGTCTGTGTAATGTGCGATGTCCGTGAACGTTGAAAAATATCAGATGATCCTCCATTAGGGTGTCTCAGGTGATCACATTGTTGTTTTGGTACGTAAAATCCCGCATATTTATCTGTCAATTTTGCTGGAGCCAGAAAGCACATGGCGATGAAGTGCTGGATGTAGTGCCATTACTGGAACGTGGAAAAAGTACAAGTAGTAATTAGGGCAGTTGCATGTATGAAAGTGCACAAGTGATACAATTATGTGATAACAACTTTTTCTCTTCTATTTCCAGAAGAACAAGAACTCTTCGAGCGCATACTCGAAATTAAAAAATTCTCAGAGCTCAAAAGCGCACTGCAAGGGCTTTGGAACGCACTGCAAGGTCTTTGAAAAGAATTTTGCAGGTTAAACTGCACAAGCACAAAATTCGTTTTGAAGGAAACAGAGTAGTGACAAATTACAGTGAAAACAATTAAAATTTTTTAAAGTGGATGTTTTGGCTGTATTTCATAAGCTGACCAAAAATGAGGTAACATTACCGAAACCAGCTCTGCATCGGCAGATATTTTGTGTTGTCATGTGAAATTGTAATGTGAACGTACCATCCATCCCTGTGTTTCTCTATTACACCTCTGCACTGTAATACACTAAGGAACTCTTTTAACGAATACAAGTCTGAAGCATTTATCAGCACGGTCTCATTGGTAAACAGGCATAATCTGGGCAGATGCAAGCACCTTCCTTCAATTTCTCATCAAGATAATAAACTTGATTCCTGAAAATTAAGAGTACACAGGAACAGCAAATTCTTATCTTGCAATAAAATGCTTTAATTAACTGTGATACAAGCAACAAACTACCTTTATTTGTCAGGTTTTCTCGGTGTACTTTGAACTAACGACTGTTCTCTATGACCACATGAACAAATTTAAGAAATAATGTCCTAATATATTCTTTATTTTTTCAAAGTATTGTCTAAGTCCAAATCGATTTATGTTATAGATATGTGGCATAAGCAGCAAACACGCTATGTAGAACAGGCAAACTAATTAAAAAATTTGAAAAAACACCATTGCAGACTAGGGCAGTAAATCTAGCCCAGGCTTGCCACCTAAAACTATAGAAACCACTTCTATTTTTTACATTTAAATCACTAAATACAGCAGTCTTTTGCCAAAATGTAAATTTGTGCTGCATAGCCAAATCGAATACGTCACTACCGAAACTGAAGCCCAAATTTTTGAGTTTGGCAATCGCGTTATGCAATGCATAACAACGTAGTTCTAAGCTGTATATTTCTCTTCGCTCGTCTTGCATGACTTTCTTACTTTCCTTCAAGAGACTAAAGGTTGCTATCATAACAATTAGTGCTCAAACTTTCATTTACTGCAGTGAAACATAAAATGAGGCCCCTTTCGCAAAGAATTTTTTAATAATTAAGAACCTACAGCTGCTGTCTATACCAAGGACTAAGAAACGATACAAGCAGTTCATGAAATATCCTAGAAGGATTGATTGGAGAGTAAAAGTTGGTACAAATTTTTAAGGCGAGCACTAACAACCAGTAGGCAGAAGGCAAAGGCAGCACCAGAAGTGCACACCTACAACTGTTAGTGAGTGCTGGTGTTATCTAGTCTTTGCCTTATGAACACTAGTCTTTCAGTTGTCACCCGAAGTGTTGAATATTTGATATCTAATCTCGATGATTGTCAAGAGCAGTGAATGCAGATTGTTTCGAAATTGTGTTAGCTTGCAATTATCCTTTAAATTCACATTCAGCAAAAGGTAATATGCGAGATCAGCCCTAATGCAACAAACAGTTCTCAACAAGTGCCAAAAAGGCATTCAAAGCATTTACCCCTGTGTGTGTGTTGTGTGCGCGTGTGTGTGCACCCGTGTGCGTGCGTGTGTGTGTTTGAGAGAGAGAGAAAAAAAGACAGGAGTGCTTAGGTAGCATTATGAACCTGTAGTCTTCATATTTTTGCTACGATCTGACACTGACCTTTACATTTTATTAGGCCACTGCACCATTCTTCTGGATTAAGGTAATTACTCTAATGAAAGATCAAATTTGAACATTTGGAGCTCACTGCACACTTCAAATGCCATGTTTTGGAACCATATAATGAAATACCAGTGCCTGCATCACCACTCTTAAACTAATCTAGGGGCGAATAGTAGCCAAGAAGGAGGCAATTAGGCCACAAAATTTTTTGTGCCTAATGTAGCTACACCTGGTAGCTCGTCTAACATCAAATTGAAGAACAGTATCTTAATATATTACTCTCAAGCCCTTTTGGATGCGACAGCCCCATATTGTGGAGGTACTAATTGTACGTCTGCTTTACATAAACGACTAATCGAATGACGAGGTTTAACACAGCTTATCCCTTTAATTCAGCAATGCAGTGCAGAAGGAAAGAAGCAGCAAGGAATGTCTATCACGGTTTCTTTTCCTTACAAACTGTAAACAGCATGGACAAGGTGACGAGACAGAAGTCAGCATCAGCAAGTGCGGAACAAGTGCCTGCCAATGCAATAGTTCATATTTCGGCATAGCAAACTATTGTGACCACGTTACCTTTTCTAGCCTACGTTACGGCATTAACTGCTACTTGGAAAATGAAGATGTAGCGGAAGCTGCTAAGCACCACCGCATTCTTTTCTATCCCGTCTGCAGCCGGCCGTCGACAGCGCGCCTACTCGCGGCGCCAGCTCCTCCTCCTCCGTGTTCGGGGAACAACGTGTTGTCGGGGCCGGCTCCGGGGATTAGACC